TCTGTCATTAATGACATTTCGTATGCCTCAACCTAATAATAAAATCTTTCTCGAATAATAAAAAATTCTCGATTTTATACGTTCTACGAAATTTTCTCGAACTTAGTATTTGCCTTCTAAAGAACGGTAGGCTACTTTTGCACAAGAGCAAGACGAAAGACGTCAATGGTGACAACTGTGAACGGCTACGGCGCGGCAGGTGCTTCGTCATACCTATTTATAAATAGTAGCCGAGACATCATTGACTATTTCTCCTACACGCTTCAGGAGATAAATATGCGAATCATCAATTGCATACGTAGTGAGTACACGAATACGCATGCGAGTGCTGGCTGCTAATATCGATTGATCCACAATCTGCGATCGTTGCACGAGAAATTTTACAAATTCAAGTCGGCCAACACCGATTTGTATGCAAATTGCGTCCTAGCCAGTTTTTGCGGTAGGTCGGCTACGTTTCCTTGAAATAAGTATGCAGTGGAGTTAATGTTCGAAGTAGTCAGGACGTATTACAATGTCAGAGTTGTAATTTGATGACGTCCGGAGAAAAGGTTGCTATTTTTTCTTTCTGATAAGTTCATATTGATTTGAAATTTTTGCAAACAAGGCGCGTGGATTCGTAATCCAAAATTTTGTTTTTTGATATTTATTAGTTTGCAGAGATGTTAATAAAAAAATAAGTGTGACACATTAAATATTGTGTATTGTGTATAAGTATTGTGACACAGTAAATATACTATATGACGTGACTTATACATTGAGTAATAAATACATTTATGTATAGGGTGACATATCCATGCATGTATAACTGACATACATATAAATCTTGTTGTATACCAAATTATTTCATTTTCAATTTGATTCATAGCAGCACACAAACATATGATAGATGATTTTCAAACAGGAAATTCAAACTCGAGAAACAGAACGACATTTCATATGCACCAGCTGGTGATTTTAATGATTCGTGAATGAAATCTCGCTACTTTGGTTGGTGTCCGACCTCTGAATAACATTATCATTGCGGTGATACGATTCTGTTAAACTTATTTATTACTTGTTCCAAAATGGAATAAACGTCAGAAATAAAAAATGTTCGTCCCACTGATCAATAATAATATTTCATTTTATGTCAAATGGTTAATCTGTTTTTTATATGCTATATCGAGATAAATTCTTAATGCGCATTTGTAAGATATTTAAAATGCGATTAGGCATAATTCTCTCAGAAAACCCAAGATATTGAAATAGTCATGTGTAAGTTATAAAATATTTTGCACTGCACAACAGAGATAATGTTTACGCATGTTTCACGTAACTATCAACACCGATGAAATGTGAACATTAAGGAATAATGAAACATGGTTTAAGAATCCAAAATACAAGCATATATGTAATAGAATTTTTATCGCATTACGTGATAGAACTGATAAATAAAAAATTTTAAGACAAACTTTACATATTAATACTCGAACAACTTTCGTCAAATTAGTTCTGTTTACTAGTTACAATTATCACATACGTTACGCAACGATGATAATATAGATTACGTGTCACGTGTTTCGTAGAATGGAAGTACAGACTGATAAGCTCGAGCCGTAGCTTAGAATGTTCTACTATGATTTCGCTACCCGCCTAGTACTCAAGTAAAGTGAAACATGTGCAGGCAGGCCTTTTTTAGCATGGAACTGCTAATACAAACATGATAGTACAAGTGATTAAAAAGATGTAATCAAGGAATCTCGTAGATCAATGCTTATTTAAATTACACTTGTACAGTATAAGATTTTAGTTTACTCTTGTGTCAGATACGGTCAACAAACATCAATTAGATGAAACGTATTCATCAAGTCTAAGTCTATCAAGTTCTAATACCACGCGTCTTCAAATATTTGTGGCGCTCCCCGGAGATTTTTATCTCTATAGGATTAATAATATCCTTAGGACAATTAAGCGCGTAGGCGTCCCTTTCAATTTTCGCGTGGAGAGCGCATCTCTTATTGACATCAGGTGAAAGCGTATATAATGTTTGTTTCTGAGGTTTCTATTATTAGAAGTTAGATTGAAGATAAGTTAGATATTAGAGATAAAGATGATATAACGTGAAACATTTTTAATCGTTTAAAAGTGTACAAAAGTAATTAATAAATTATTTGAGTGAAGTACTCGATGTACTACAGAAATTATGTATCGCGTTTGATGACAACATTTCATATGTTCTTATCTATATACATTAATCTTCGATTCTGTTATCTACAAATAAAATGAAAACGTAAATTGTCACCGGCATGCTCCGTCATCGAAGGAAATAGAATAATGGTTACCGACGCGATTCGCCGGTAGAGTAAAGCCAATTACATTCTCAACGTTGCGCGGACGATACTCGCCGATAGTTACTTGCAAAAGTGCCAAAAGCTTCTTGGCAGGTGACAGGATGTACAAATATCCGCTCGTTATCGGTGAACACTAAACCATTCGTTAACACGCCGTATCTAAACGATTTGGGCCGCTTATTAGGGTATTTTGAAACTTTCATTCATAAGGCGAATGTAAGTACAGTTGAATAGCCTTCTCAGCAAAAGTTTACTATTTTACGAATATAAATACATGCACAACCAAATACAATCAAATTGTATTTCGAACAACATGTATATTTTTTCTTCTATCATTTCAGTTTCCAAATTTTCCTTTAAATAATAATTTACATTAAGAAATGATACGACTCTTTATGCTTCAATCTCGTATTCAGGTCTCAGAGAGAAAATGAAAGTTTCTTATTTACATAAAACCGTATGACATAAAATCGTGTGACTTAATGTAC